TGTTCAGTGTTGCATCTTCAAAATAGCATATGTGTGTGTGTTTCCCTAACCCTTTTTTGGCATATTTGCAGATTAGTTTGCTTGGGGGTCAGTAGAGTACTGTGTATTAAATGTTCAACAATACTTGGATCACTACTGTAATTGTGGCATACAGAAAGGAGTAGTTTTGACACTGAACTGCTGGTGAGACTGGCTGTTGATGGTTTTACCTTAAGCTTTATTGTCTGTAAATACTGCCAATTGATTAACTTTAGTTCAACGTGTGTCTTACATTGCATGCAAGTATGACACGTCATAGTAAACTAACTTCTTGGCTTGACATGTCTGGAAAGGGATGGGTATTGCTCAAATTCAAAATCATTTTTCGTAGGAAATGAAATGCAACCTGTGTGGCACTGCCTTAATAATTGTGCTTTGAAACTCTGGAATAAGTTAATTTTATAGTTGTTCCAGCTTATCCTAGAGCTAGAGTTGTTTTCAGAAAGAACTGCTTTTACTGATCTACTGCCTTAGTATCTTTTTTAAAGTTTCCACTTGATTATCTGGTTAGCTATATTCAACAGTATTCAATGCTTTGGTTTTTGGAGCTTGTGTACTCTGCACTGGAAGATTCTTGGGTGAGGAACGGGTGGGGGAAATTTCATTTCAGAGCCATCCTAATGCACCAACCTAACCATTTTCCTTTTGTGAGTCATTACATGGAAGATTATTTCTTGTGATACACTGATTGTCTTTTCTTGGTTTTATTTCATATCAAGGCAATTAAAACTGGTTTAAATCTTGTTGGAAAATCTGTTAGTTCGGTGCTTCACTGGTTTGGGGGCAGGGGAATAGGAAGGGGTCTGGCAGCTTACCTGGTATAAATTTCAGAAGAATGGTTGTTTGGCACACCACCTGCCTCCATATTAATAGAGGAATTGGTCCAAATGTTATTTTTTACATATTTAGAGATGGTGTAAGAAAACAGTCTTTCTCCTTAGAGTTGATTCTGCACCAATTGAGAAAGAACTTCCAACTGTAAATTTTAGTTAAGTAGAACTAATATAAAAAGCAGAAAGTATGTGTTTTGGGTCTGTTTAAGAGACATGTTTTTCCTTCAGGTGTCAGGTTTATTTGGTGAGGGTTTTAACTTTTCTGTAAGAATATGTGAAGCTGGATTTTATAGGAAATTCTAGTTGATTCCTTGATTAAAAAAAAGCAATGTTCCTTGTTTGGAAAAACAATGAACTGTCCTCTTGTCCAGGTCTCTCTGGATGGCATCTTGTCCTTCAGGAAGTGTCAACCACATTACTCAGCTTGATGTCATCTGCAAATTTGATGAGGGTTCACTCAATCCTTTCATCTGTTTCACTAATAAAAGTATTGAATAACAGTGATCCTGATACATATCCCTGTGGGACACAATCTGTCACTGATGTCCATTGGGAGTCGGAGCTTTTGGCCACTGCCCTCTGGATGCTTACTGATTGAGGTTTGTTGGTTTTTTCCCAAAGGGTTTGTGTATATGGATAGACTTTTTTTTAAATCATAAGTAATGCTTCCTAAAAGTAGACTCTGCTAGGGTACAGTTGTAATCCCCTCTCACTCCTTGCTTGTATTCACATACGCCTGTATTCTTGTGTTAGTTTTGGTCACAGTTTCCACTGTGAATTACTTTGAAAATCAGATTCTGATTTATTCTGCTATTACTGAGAGATATGACCTGTTCATTTTGGTATGAATATAATTTAAATGTTACTAAATGCTAGACTTAATTGATTTATCTACAGATTTATTAATTGTTGGGCCTTTTTGTATTCATTCTAGAAACTTTATGAAAAGCATGCATTTAAAATAGTTTGACATACCTTTGATTAGTCAGTAGGCATATTTCAGCAAAATAATTTACTAATTTTTGCCCGATTGCACAGAACTGGTTCTTGCATTTTAGAAGAAATGCAAAGATGAGTATTTGACTGGCAATCTGCCTATGTTTTACAGTAGTTTCTCTGACATAAATAGGGCAGGAGATCTTTCTCCTTTTTAATGCCTTTATTAAAGAGATTCAGCTCAGGTGGGGAGAAATCGATGGGTCGCGCCCACGCCGCCGCTGTCCCCAAGAGTGGCACGGAGGAGGAGGGTGATGCAGCTCTGTCCGCTGGTCTGCAGGCAGAGCTGGGGACTGCATCCTCATGGGAGATTCGCAGATTCCTGCTTTTCAATCCAACGCTCCGGGTCCCCTCCTTAGTGAACATCTCTTGAGGTCAGGGTGTGAAGCAAAAAGGATCCAAGCAGGCACTGGACTTCACGTCCATCCTTAGACATCAACTAGGGTCCCCTAATTCTATATTGGTTCGTTGTTTTTAGGGGTTTTGCTAGAAATGGGAAAATTTTGGAGCAGTGCATTTCTCATTTGCATACATGGTCCCAGGCCACTCCTATTCTTCTGGGCTGCGTGTCCAGGTGTAGCTCCGGGGCAAGCACCAGGGAGGACAATGGCTAAATCACCAACTATTAAACGGGCAATTAAAGAACTCTTTAACAATTAAGCTAATTTAACAGCAACTGGTCCCACCGGTTTTAGCTCTGTAACCTTAAACAAAAATAGGTATCTTTTTATTCATAACATTCTCCACAAGTCCAGATGCAATTTTCTGGACAACAGCATGAGAAAAGTTCCACACCACACATGCTAAAGGAATGTTGCAATCTTAATGAAAACAATTCCCAGGCTTTCATCCCAATTATTTGATTTTTTTGACTTGGCACATGTGAATCTTGAATTGATGTTCAGTGACACCAGCAGAAAACCAAAGTGTAAGATTTTTCATGTGTGGACTCATTGCATTAAGAGGGATGTGCCATTGTTGAGAGCATTACTGGTAGTACTAAGAACCTGTCTAATTTTGTAGCGCCAAAAGCAGTGCTTCTTGTATTACAGAGAAATGGAATATAGCATAGGTGTAAAATACATTTTCCATTTTACTTGGTGTAGTAAAGTGAATAGAATTGAGATTTATTTAAAAATAATTGTTGCATTGCTGGTGGGAGCTTTTGAACCTCAGTGTGTGAGTCAGGGCACCGTTTTTTTATGTTTGTAATTTCCTTGATTTTTGCTTTAAAGTATAAGTATTAAATAAAATAACTGAATAAGTCTCTTTATTGAGCACTGCATTTAGGGAAGGATATTTGTAAGAAGGAACTGGTATTCCTTAATATATTACTTTGAAATTCAAGTAGCGGATTCCTACTAGGGTTAGAGATATATCTCTATGTACTTTGCAAGTATATCATCCTGAAGAGCCTTTCAATCATACCAACTTTATTTAGCTTTTAAAATACTTTTTTGTCCCTTGGGTGGCTGTTTCACCAGTGGTGTGCTTCTGTTAAAGAATGCTAACTCATCTTGAAAATAAAGTCCAAACATGCAAGCCTTAACTACTCTTGCAACATCTCTTTTCACTGATCTCATGAAGTTACCTACTCAAAGCAGTTAAAAACCAAATTGGCCACCTAGTAGTAATGACAAAAAAGAAATCACTGTGGAATTTTTTCCAGGGAAAAAAATCCCCTGCAATTTTTTTTACTAGTATTAAAGGGTTGGTAATTATACTTTGCTTTTCTCCTTTTTAGCCTATTTTCATTTATTTTACTTTCACAGTATGTAAAGAATTTATCTTCTTTTTACTTTTTGATACTTATGACTGAAATACATAGCTACATAATTTATTTTACTGTTTCCTTTAAATTTCCCACCTCTAGTTGGTACATTTTCCACTCACATTTTGTGTCACCTGCTCGAGGTGATCCTGCCTTGACAGTGGAATTGGGTAGGATGATCTCCAGAGGTCCTTTCTAACCCTAACAATTCTGTACTTCTATGAACTTACTCTCATTTGCCTGTCTTAACAACATTGTCATGGACATCAGGTCTGTAATACAGAGGCCTGTCAACTCATTAAAAAGATGTTTTCACAAGAAGTATTTTTAAATTCTAATCCTAAAGTAAAAATTACCAGCTTTGTATTCCACTTTGGATGGTGCAGTGTCTGGTAGCATAAGCCTATGAAATTCACATATAGTTGAACAAAAAGTGATTTACAAATTCAGGTATTTGAAGGACCCATCACATTTCTTTATATATGATGTATTATATAGCACTACATGCACCTCTTGTGGGCAATATGTGAGAGGCAGTACATAGAAAAATGGGAATATTAGGAGGAATTTCTTTTGACCCCTCCAATTACAAAACTGGAAAATTTTCTTGTCCAATTAGGGCAGGTCAGATTCATTCTTCATGGCGTGTATTGTCACATCTGCACACCCACACACTGTTAGTCCCAGTTCATTCTGTCTTATGATTATTGAGCAGCTTTACACCTTTTTCCTTTCACCTCTGGCAGCTATAAGGATGTCATTTCCCAGTTTTCAACCACTTTCGTGCCTAGTGAGTCATCTCCTTTAGAATGTTAATTCTGTATAACTACAGCAGATGTTTTTTGTTTTCCTGGATCACAGTTGGTTGGGAAAAACTTTAATTACGTTGAGGTAGAGAGTGCAGGGAGGTTGGAAGGGTGAAAAGTAAGGCGGTATTCTGTCATTTGAGGGGAACAGCTCGAGTAAATCAGTTCTGTGAGGCTCCGTTTGCTGCCTTTGCTGATCAGGGCTGCATCCCGAGCCCGTACCCGTGTGGCACCGTCAGCAGAAGGCAGATCCTGCTTCTCCAGTGACTCTCGAAACGGGGTTACAGGCAGGTGAGGGTCGGTCTCCTCAATCGACGGAACCAGAGGACGTGGCCTCGAGCTGCGCCAGGGGAGGTTCGGGTTGGATGTGAGGGAGGATTTTTTCAGCGGCTGGTCAGACACTGGAACGGGCCGCCCGGCGAGGCGCTGGAATCGCCGTCGCGGAAGGTGTTTAAGGAAAGATTGGACACCCGATGCCACGGTGTGGTTGACAAGATGAAGATCGGCTCCAGGCTGGCCCGCAGGATCCCGGAGATCTCTCCCGACGCCGTTCGCTCCCCGATCCTCTGAAACCGAAACTAAACCGGGGCCGGGCCGGGGGGCCGTGCCGTCACCGCGGCGCGCAGGCGCCTGGGGCCCGCGGCCGCAGCCGGGCGCAGACAAAGGACGCCTGGCGCCGGGCGTGGTGTGACGTCACCGGCCCGGGGGCCGGGGGCCGCGCTCCTGAAAGCGCTGGCGGAAGGGTCGGGCCCGGCCCGGGGCGGCCGCGGCGGCCCCGAGGTTGAGGCGGGGCGGTCCCCGCGGGAGCCGCGGCGGAGGCGGCGGGGCCGCAGGTACCGGCGAGGGGAGCGGCGGGGCGGGGCCTCGCCGGCGCCGCCTGGTGCCCGCGGCTCGTCAGCCGCGGAGGGGAAGGGGCGATGTCCCGGCGGCACCGGGCCGCCCTCCGTGTAGGTAGAGGGTGAAGGAGGCCGTGTGGCCCGGGCCGACGGGGAACCCGAGCTCCTTCCACGTGGGCGCCCCGCGAGGTGCACGAGAGCTGGGGAAGGGATGTAATTGTCTGATCTTGTTAAAGTTGCTTTATCTGCTTTGGCAAAAGGCAGAATTGGAACTTGGGAATTAACAGACTTACCAGGATGGAATTGCTGTGTGCTGTCTTCAAGACAGGCAGGTTAATGGGCAAGGCGGTAGCAAGTGTTTCTGAAGCACTGAACGTTCTCCCATCCGTATAGTAAAATGATGCCTCTAGGTGTCTGTAATCCCCTTAAATTAGTCGTACGAACAACTGTTTAAGGAAACACTGATTCAGCAAGCATGCATGTTAGGGCGTTCGGTATTTTTTAGTGCACGTGAGTTAATTCCTATTCCTAAAGAACACAAATACACAAATGGGATTTCTTTTTTTTTTTTTTTTTTTTTTTTCTTTTTTTTTTTTTTATGCTTGAATTGTAAAACTACGTCTTGTTTCCTTAAGAAGCGTATTTTTAAACTGCCTGTGTATTGAGATCTTAACTGAGGACACCCATGTCGAATTGTAACTGTTTAGAGCAGGTGGTTTAGTTATTACTTATACAGATGTTCATTGAACTGTAAGTCATGACAGTGTTTATGGATGTATAGCATTTGCATTTTGAAAGAGATTTTTGAGGGTGGTATTTGAGGCAGACACGTATTTTCTGATAATTTCTTCACATGTGGAGTGGGGCAACCAGAATGGTAAGATGAACAGGATTAACAGAAGTCTGCAATATTCAAGTACTGAATACAGTTACATTACAATTTGATTTGATGTTGCTGATGATGTGCTTGTTCTAAAATGTTGTTCATTGAAGCAACTGCTTTGGTTTCATTTGCCATATTTATGGTATTTATCCACATCCCAGGGATCTTGCGGTCTGCTGACCCAACAGACTCCTTAGTTGCTTTGCAGTATTATATTACCTTATCTGTCTTACCTTCAAGGGGAGTATTGTGGCTGTGGTATTAGCAACTCACTGTTCTCGGAGAAGAAAAAGCTCCTTTTGGATACTAATGTGTGCAGTAAGAGAAAGGAGGGTGCAGTCATTAGAAAATTAAGTCCAAGATGGAAGAGCAAATGGATTCTGTGGCAGGTTTCATGGCTAGTGATCGTTCATAATGTTTTTGATGTTCCTTAATCACCATATTTCTGGGGAAAAATGAAATATATGCATACATAGAATAACATGTGAAGAAAGTTTTCAGGGAGTTGTTACTTGGAGTTATACTGCTTGTGAAAAAATGTCATTTGTGAAAAATTGTATGTAAATAAAAGGGTCTTAAAAAGTAAAGATTTTATTATCTCATTTGTGAATCTTACTTTGTTATCTCATGGATTTACAGAGTAGGTTAAACTTCATTTGATTCTTATCTGGTTCACTTTGTGGCTTTTTTTGATTAACCAAATTATAATAAATGCTGAATTGAAGTTGCATGTTGTTAAGTCCTTGCTTTGTGCCTGCACTGGTGTGGAAGTTACTGTATATAATTGTCTTCTGAAATACAAGGATTTAGCTCAGAAGCTGGTATTAGTTGAATCAGTTACTGTTGTCATTTATCAAGTGAATGTGTCAGCTTTTCTAAATATGTTTTTTTAATATGGCTTATTGGTATTATAATAAGAGATAAATTTTATGTTTTAAAGTGGACTGTTGAGGAAGTCATGTTATTTTTTCAACTCTTTGCTAAAAAAGAGTTGTGATGGCTTTTATGCAACGTTTTGCTAAAATATAAAAATTGTGTGGTTAGGGAGGGAAGTTACTTCTTCAGATCTACCTGTTATTGAATTGTAGTCTTGTACTGTGAAACTGTGGTCTTGTCGTAAGTCAAATATGTCATACATATTTGTTTGTAGAGACCACATGGACTGAGTTACTGGGGATCTGATGAGAATTTGTACAGAACAGGTCTTTGAGTTACAAAGTTCTCAGATAGTCTTTGCGTGTAGCTTTACCATCTCCACCTTGCTTCAGAAGGATTTGAAAGGAATTAAGGGTAGAGGAAAGATATAGAACTTCTTTTTTCCTATTTTTAATTAGAAAGATGTTTTGATTGTAGAGGAGTGATTCTTAAACTTGTGGAAGATACAGGCTTGACTTAATCAGTTAATATGGAGGTAGAGCTCACTGTTTCCTTCTCTATATAAGAATTTATATCAAGTTAAATTATCTAATACAGAATATTTAAATTCTGCCGTGGGCAGAACTTGATGAGATCTGTGATTTAACAGATGGTTTTCATTTCTTTTACTCTTCAGCTTCTTATGGGAGCGGGTGGGTTCCTCTTTTACTAAGCTATTTAAAGATAAGGAAACTTGTTTTGCTTTTTGGTGCCCTGTACTGATGCCTGTTTGTCAGAACATTGAAAACTGGTGCTTATTTTGGCCTTTAATAGCACTGAATGCTAACAACAGCTGCTCTTTAAAAGCAGCTGGAAGGGGAAAGAGAGGAAAGAAGCCGTTTTACACCTTGAGTATTTTGCTGTTTGCCTTCTAACCAGACTGACTGGATTGCATTGGAACTGTACCTCACCTGGTAAAAAAGTAGGTAAGCAGCATATATCTAACTTGTGTACTGTCTTCTGTTGGCATTGTAGCAGTAGAAAGACTGATGATTCCTTTGCTTTTCTCCTCTCAGGAGAATAGGGACATTCTTTCTTTAATGTATGCAGTTCCTGTAAATACATTCTCAGTAAATACATTCCAGGTTTGATGTCTCAGAATTTTTTTAATCTTCTTGTTTATTTTCAATAACTTTGCTTTTTTTGTAGTTCCCACTATTACCTCAGATACTACAAAAAGTAATCAGTGCTTTGTGTGAGCACCACTACATAAACTGTGCTTTGCATACTTTCTGTTAAAGTAGCTCTTTCATCTCATCAGTCTTGCGGTTTTGTTCCTTTGCAAAATCTCTGAACACCTCTGTCCTAGGAAAACTCAGACATTGCATTAAGTCTCGCTGCAGAACCTCTTACCTTAGCCTTGTGGTCTGTCTTTGCCAGCTTTGTTAATTGCTGAGAGAAGTGGCCAATTTTTTTTTGTCACACTGCAGTAACTGTAAATTGTGTGAGAAGGGATGAGAACATTCATGGCACAGTTTATGGTGCTGCTGAGCAGATGCTGTCTGGCAGTCTTCATGAAAGCTTTAGGAGATGGCTTTCTAGACAAAAATTCAGGACTTTTCTTCCTTATTCAGGTGACCTTATTAGATGACCTGTTGGAACTGTTTTTTAAAAAAATTGTGGTGTGATGAATATTTTTGATGAGCTGCATTTTCAAAGTCTAATTCTTGGAAGTTAATCTCTTGCAAAGAGATTTAAGACTATTTTGTTCGCAAGTACTGAAGGAGGGCATTTTTGATCTGTCTTCTGTGTTTGTGTCTTGGTGAGACATCAGAACTGAATACAAAGCAGGATGGGAAATGAAGAGTTGGGAGACATAAAATACTAGAAAATTCATTTAAAGTAGTGTTTTGGAAGCATTTGTGAAGACAGGCAAGTTCCAGGTGGATGGATGACTGTGGCTACGAGAAAAACATTCAAGTATGGGCACAAAGGACTTGGTAAGACCGATAGGCATTTAGTCATTTTGCTCTGCTGAGCATAGGTTACCGATCATGCTTTCTTCCTCTTTATTTAATTTCATTACTATATCAGAGAACAGCCAGAGCACTTTTTCTCAAATTCAAATACAGATACCTAGTATAGTGCTTGTATTCTTTGGGTCTGCTTTCTATAAGTGAATATTTATGTGTATCTGTTGTTTTGTTCAACATTGGCCAGGACTTGAGAGTGTCTTAAAAAAGGACACATCTCACCAAATTTTTTATGTGGTTAAAGTTCTTTATGCCTATTTTTTTCTCCTTATAAAAGGTACAGGATAAGGTTTAAGAAGTGAGTCAGCAAACTGTGCTTATTTGAGTGTGTTTGGAGGAACAAGGCTCATGTTCCTTTGTCTATCATCTAATTTGTATCATGTAGTTTGTTTTTTATTGACCTTCCTTTGACTTTGTGTGAGAATAATCTTGTTTTCTAAAGTAAATGAAAAGATCTATACAAGTAAAGCTGTTTTTTGAAGCTGAGAACCTGCAGTGTTTCCTCATATGTTCCTTGTTTTGGTTAACTTAGCAGAAAATGCCAATTCTTTCTTAGTTATGTCATCTCAAATAATTTGTTGCTTACATTGAAGAGTGAGTTCTTTACCCATTACATGACCTGTTTGATGACAGTCTCCCAATGTGTGTGTTTTGTAGGGGCAGAGGAACCAGCCACTGCTGCAGTATTTAATATGTTTACAGGGCCTTTACTGGGTTTGACACGTATAAAAAAGGAAGTTCTGTAAGCTGCTAAGGGTAAAAGGTGTGTTGAAATCCCAGCTCTAGAGAAGAACATTTTTTCCCCTAAGCTTTTTAAATTTACTCTTACTAATTTATCCAAGCTATTAATAAAAACTAAATGGTGTGTATATATTTAAATCAAGTGGTCTCTATTATGTAGCACATAGTCTAAACTGGATGAGCTTTGAAAAGAGGAAAAGAATAATTTAGGTTGAAAAGGACCCATAAGATCATCAAGTCCAGCCATTAACCTCGTACTGTCACATCTAGTACTAAATGACCTCCCTATGTCTATACAAGTTCTTTATTGCCTCCAGAGATGGTGACTCAACTTCTTCTCTTGGAAGCCTGTTCCAATGCTTGACAATCCTTTTGTGAGGAAAATTTTCCCAAAACCTGATTTAAACCATCTCTGGTGCAAACTGAGGTAATTTCTTCTTGTCCTATCACTTGGAAAACAGATAATCTCCCACCTTGCTGTAGCC